AAATATTTAATTAAAACTTAATTTATTTATCAATTATGAACAATTTAAGTACATTTTCATGCACTTATCACTGGGCATGCATCTGTACCGGGTCAAGCTATGCCGTGTCTGGGGGTGGAGCTTCATCCCTCACCGGGGGTTGATTCCCCTGGTCGAGCTGATTTCTTCCACCCCCATTATTGGTTAGATGCGTGGTATTTTCCTCCGTTTGGCTGTTTTGATTTGTGTCACCATTTCTTCTTCTCGGAGGCATGATTGTTGATTGTCCGGGGTGAAACGCGTGAACCAGATTGTTGACGGTCAAATTTTATCAACAAGACCGTACCGGATTACCCCGCAGTAGCCCGTTGGGTTACCGGTTTGAAACTTGTTATTTTACTGAATATGCTAGAGTTTGTATTGGTGTATTGTGAAGAAAATGCTATAATGCTCATGAAAATAAAGACGCAGAGGTTTTATGGTGGTTCACCCTTCTGAAAAAGAGCTACATCCACTGTATTATATTTCTCTTGTTTGGTTCTTACAAATCACACAAATGGATAATCATCCTCCTTTTCTCTTAGGGGTTTTCCCCCTTTTATAGCCTACATTCCATCTGAGCCTTGCCCAACGTAGGCTGTTTGGACCATTTGACCGTGTCTTCCAGGGGACCCATTCACTCGAGTGGCCTATTACCTCATTTGTCTAGACCGTAGCCTGTCAGCACCTTTTGGACTATTCACTCATCTAATTTGTCCCCATATTACAGCTCTGTAGATCCTCTGTAATAGCTAGTGATCCGTTCCAGGCAGTTTTTAGGGGCTTGTAATCATTTCCTGTGTAACTGACCTCCTATAAACCCAGACGCAATCTTGGGATATCCAGTTGATTACCTCAGGGGTCTTCCTTGGCATGTAGGTCCAGTTGATTACATTCTGCCCTCTACGCCTATGCCAAAATTTGCCACACGTGGCCTTTCTCTCGGTCGACCCTATCATGTTACTTGTATAAACTAGTCTCGCAGGTCTCGACTGTGTATAGGGTCGACGGTCTCAAACCCCCCTTATGCACTCGGCTCCCATACCATATGGGAGAGGAAAATGAGCCTCGGGCGTCGAGGCCTATCTGACGTGGCAAGCGTGGGGCCACGTGTGGCATGATCGTTGTTCGACGTATCAGTGTGAATTTTCCCACACAACATTGATTATAATTTAGTTTTTATAATTTCCAATTCTCATATTGTTTCTTGCTTCCCGTTTCTGTTTATCTTTGTTATGTATTGCCTAACATGATGAAGCTTCTCAAAGTCATAGTCATGAGATGCATCGACGACGTCGATTACCGATAATGTCAACAACGAAGCCATAGCGTATGGATTGGGACAAAGGGCTTGGGCCTCCTTGAATAAATTAACTGTTAAGAATAGTGTCTTTAAAGCATGAAATGTAAAAAGAATATTTATTATTTAATCAATAAAATAGGTTTTTCATTATTTATGTGTATGTATTATTGTATATAAGTGTTATATACGATAGAATAATATTTAAGGATAATAATCGAAATAATATTTGTAATGAATTTCATTAAAGTTACAGAATCTTTAATTAAAATTTTACTAATACATGACATTCCCATTAAGAGTGGAATTGTGTTATCCGCATCAATAATATAGAGGGATATTAAATGAGTGTATTATGCATAATGAGATTATGTAAAATTGGGACACAGACACAATTTGATTTTCATATAATTTCCGTTAAGTATAGAAAATTAAATTTGAGTCTACCGATGGTCATATATAGAATTATTTTAATCCTAAGTTATTAACAAACTCTTATTTCTGGATTCGTGTTTTTGACTTACTCGGTACGGATTTCAAGATTGCTAAATCATATTCCTTCTATTTTGGAGACATAATGAAGTGGATAGTCTGGAATGCTTATATACGAGATAGAATCGATTCCTTCTTGAATAAAGAAGCAGATAAATAATTCCCTTGAGGATTGATTCGGTACTTGAATAAGTAACGAGCTCGTATTCATGAATGTGTTTTATGAATATACTATTTATTAGAGAATCAATGGTACTCAAGTATAAAGATGTAATTAGAGAGCTTGATGGATTTTACCTAGCTCTAATTATGAATTATTTATGAAGGATTGATCTGTATGTAGTGACTATATCACATGGGCACTTCAAGTTCTTAGAAGTAAATTATGTTTATAATTTTGAGAGTGTGATTCTAAATTTTTTAGTGGAGTAGCTTTTGAAATTAATATAATTAATTAAAGAGTTTTATTAATTATTAATTTTATTGAAGTTTAGAATTATAGGTCCATGAGTCCCCCCGTTATCCTTGTAATATTTGCAAGACAAGGTGAATTATTGGGATTTAATATCACTCCAATTAAATAATGTGATTATTTAATTAAATTAATTTTGAAACACACTGTGGTGGGACTACAAGATGCCACACGCCCAGGCACATAGAGGTGCAGGGGGCGTGTGACACAGGGAAAAACCCACTGGATTCAATTGCTTATTCTCCAAGATATTCGGTTTACTTGTTTGACAAGTTTCTAATCAAATTCAAAAGGAAATTAAAGTTTGATTTTATTTAGATTTGAATTTGAGCTAAAATTAGAAACTGGATAAAATGAGGAATTTATCTCCTTCTCCTGCCTACAATTTTGCACTAACCATAGGGAGATCTCCAAGTGGTGTGGCCAACCATATCATATAAGGAAGGGGATAGTTTTTGCTTCCAAAATTAGATGAGAAATTGTATTTTAAATGAGATTTAAAATAAAGTAATAACCAATTTTCTATTACTTTGTCTTCAAGTTAAAGCAAATGGGTCTTTTTAGTGTTTTATAAATAGGAGACAATAGAAAATTGAAGAACACAATTTTTGCTCTCCATTCCCATAGGTGGCCGAATTTCCCAGAGAGAAAAAAAAGAATAAAAGTTCTTCCAACTCCCAGTTTCATCACATACATGTGTTGATAATGGTTGAATACAAATTAGTGAGTGATCGAATCCTGATAAAAATATATTAGAGCCTCACTCTAAGTCTTGCAGATTTCAAGGACTAGACGAGGAATATTCGGGTTTTCTGAGAAAGCTAAGAGCTTAGATCGTTCGAGGTCAAAGAGTTATAGTTATCTGCCTAATTGTTCGCTAAATATCTATCCTTATAAATTAATATGAATAATTTATTGTTGTGTAAATTAACATATTCTATAGAGTATTTAAAAGTTTTATGAAAATTTTTGTTATACACGATCTGCACATACACGATTCTGCATCCGAAATCGTTTTAAAAACCAATATTAACATGAGAAAATTTCAAGTTTAACCATTGTTTTTCCAACTCTATTATTTATGTCATTACATAAAATTTTGATGCTACTACGGAAAAATAACTTACAGGTTATAAAAAAATAACATGTAAATTACCTATAAGTTACGAAAAGATAATTTACATGTTGGTAGTGGCATAACATAAATTTAATAGCAATTGCACAAATAAAATAGTATGAATTAACGTTAAACTGAAAAACAAATATTGATAAAGCGTACTTCAAAAAAGAAAAAACAAATCAATGGCATTTTCTTATTTTGGTATCTGCTATCCTTAAATCAAACTTAAGTACAATGATACTCTTTCTAATGTAATATTTTTCTTGTTACTAATGACAACTAACTCCCGCATTTTATCAATATACGCATAATTATTTTTCTAGCTGAAATTTTGAGAATATCCTATGGCAAGACAACATAAAAATAAAAAGCCCAAACGAAAATTAAAAAAAAAAAAAAGAGAAAAAAATATCCGGAGAAACGTCTAGTATGCAAACATCTATATAATACGTAGCCCATGTGCAATGCGTATAATGTTTATTTAATTATTTAATTAGAGCATAGGGTAAATTATGCACCGCATTTACAAGGTGTAAGTTTTTGTAATTCTTAATATAAGGTGTGTGAAGAATATTTTTGCAAACACTATTATAAAAGTCATTAAAAGGAATGTTGAGTGTGTTTGGTTGGAGGGAGAAAGGTGAAGGAAAAGAGCAAATCATTTGTTTAGTTGGAGGAAGAAGAGGAAGGAAAGGGGAGATGGAAGGAGAGCTGATCTTCTTAAGCCTACAAAATTATATCCTTCCATTTATAGGTGGATTCATAGAATTCATCAACTTTTCAATATAAAACACTATTTTACTCTCAAAATAAACTATTAACAAATAATTTAAATAGATAATATAATAATTTTATAAATAATTATCATCTATTTTTTAACTCTCTATCCATCCTATCAAATAATATAAAAAATTACTATAATATCCTCTTATTTCCTACTCTCCATCCCTCTAACATCCTACCAAAAGTAAGTTCACTGATAAATATTGAAGAACTTCGTACTTAGTGGGGAAAAACGTTTTTACCTGATCTGATTTTTCCTCTAAGACCAACTGGATTGATTCGGTAATCCATAGATGCCAACACAAGCCACGGGCTTGGGATTTAAGTTTGGACAGATCTGTCCATGATAGAAAATCTACAGGAAGGGGGAAAAAAATCACGGAACAATATAGTTGTCATTATTTTTTTTTTTTTAAGACATGGATGGTGCGAGACCTATGACTCCTACTGTGCTGAAGAAATAAAACCACTAAAATTCAAACCCTGATAAACACACAATCAAGCACCTAATCACTTGAGTTAAAACATCACAGAACACTTTGTTGCGTCAATTAATGCTAGGCAGGCATGATTAGGAAAAATGTATTTAAGATTTTGGTATTACTTGTAAGTTAAAAATTTATTTATTAAGGTCGAAGGTTGATAAATAACTCCCACTGGTGTATAAATGGCTACCTAATTAATTATTTCAATCCTTTTAATCATATCAAAAAAATCCTTTTTATTGCTACCTAATTTATTATTTCAATAATGTGGCAGCAAAAGCAATCCGTTCTCGTCTTTGTTTCTCAAAACAGAAGACCTCAGCAGGGCTATCAATGCCTTGTAACAAAAGTCACACTCAATATTGCATTAAAACTAGCTAAACCAAACATTTTTATCGCATGAAAGCCAATGAACAACGCAACATGGTGCATTTTAGAGCCATTGACATATTTTTAAAGCAAAAGCCAAAAGGGCATGGAGATCACCAAAAACTTACCTATTTATACATAATTTATGAAATGCGGAACTCACATGCCTATACATTCATGGTCTCAAGACTAAAAACAAGCTCACATAGACATTAGAGCACGGAGATCGTTGATTCCTACTTCTGTCCTATCCTTTGAACCTCTTTTTCCAAAAGCTTCCCTTGCGAGTTTTTTCTTCCGCTCCTGCAACTCTAGAACCTTTTCTTCGATGGTGTCCCGAGCAATCAATCTCACAATCTTCACTTCCTCTTTCTGTCCAATTCTGTGGATGCGGTCCATAGCTTGTTCCTCAACTGCTGGATTCCACCATGGCTCCAGGAAGTAGACTCGAGAAGCAGCTGTTAGATTTATACCTGTCCCTGCAGCCTTGAGACTTGCAAGCAAGATTGTGGTCTCATCTTTTTTCGAGACTCCAAATTCTTCAATCACTTGAGCCCTTCTCTTTGCATTCATAGATCCGTCTATCCGCAAAATCTTAAATCCGGCTTCTTTTAGTGGTTTTTCAAGTAATACCAACATTTTTCTAAATTGTGAGAATACAACCGACTTTGTAGCTGACTTATGATCTCTTGATGCTACAAGAAGTTTTAGAAGAGCAGAAACTTTTGAAGATACGGCTGATCTCGAGGAAGATTCTTCATCTTCAGCATTAGAGGATGGTGGTGGAGCCGAGAACAGGTCCGTAGTTGTTAAAGGATGTCGACAGAGAGGGCACGAGGACTTGGTGTGCTTTAATGTTTTCATAATACAAGCATGGCAAAAGATATGACCGCAACTAGTGATCACCATATCAGTCGGTGGAGAAATGCAGATTGGACAGTCAAAATCTTCACCATCTTGCAGTACCTCAACAATCTTCTGAAGCAACTCTGGGTTGTTGGATACATCTGCTTAAAATCAATTTCTGTTAGCTTGCAACGAGGACATCATGTTACAAGAAGTTGAGAAAAATTTAAAATAAAAAAAAAAAAGGTAAGAAAAATGACGAATAACAAATCTCTTCAATAGGCGGTCTAAGAAGTTAATATTCCAAGATTATAATAACTTGATAGTATAGTAATATTATATTATAGCTACAAGCTAAAGACAAATCATGTCAGAACAAAAATAAAAAAGATTACATAGCAACTTATCATGGACTAAAATACAGGAAATCTGTTTTATTATTTGTTAGAGAGACATTATGGAACTCCACCTATGCGTTTGTATAGCCGGTCTCAAGCCCGGGTAAAGGAGGAGGGTTGCAGTAGGTTAACGGCCAGCGTAAAAATAAGTCACTCTCATGAATTTCACTCACATAGAATCTGTTGGGGCGTTCCTTACGTGCGACGCGCTATGCCGGGCCCCAGGTATAGTGTTAAATAGGCAAGGGGGTCTTCGCACATTCATGGACGGGTGCAGAGGGAAAAGCGAGCCCATGCGCCATGTCAGTCCCCGGATATGGCGAAAAATATGCAATGGGGGTCCTTGTACATTCATGGACGTGTGCAAGGGGCAGAGCTAGCCCATGATAGGAAAATTCGTTTAGGTAGTTGGAATGTAGGTTCTTTAACTGGTAAATCTATGGAGTTAATAGATATTATGGTAAGAAGAATAATTAACATTTTATGCTTACAGGAAACGAAGTGGACAGGAGAGAAAGCAAAGGAGATTGAAAATTTAGGACACAAGATATGGTATACAGGTTGGGAAAGGAATCGCAATGGAGTTGGTATTCTAGTGGACAAAACTGTGAAGGATGATGTAGTTGAGATTAAGCGAATAGGGGATAGAATTATTATGCTCAAATTGGTACTAGGAAATAAGTCTATCTATGTAATTAGTGCTTACGCTCCACAAATAGGATTGGATGCGGAAACTAAAATCAAGTTCTAAGAAGACATGGATGACTTAGTGTGTCGTATAGGCAATGAGGATAGCATTTTCATTGGAGGAGATTTCAATGGGCATGTTGGTAAGGATAGGGAAAACTTCGAAAGGATCCATGGTGGTTTTTGGTTTTGGAGCTCGAAACGAAGAAGGGAAATCTATTTTGGAATTTGTGTTAGGACATGATTTTATCATAACAAACACATTTTTCAAGAAAAGAGATTCTCACTTGATAACTTTTAAGAATTGAAGGAACTTAATCCAGATAGATTATTTTCTCACCAGGTATAGAAATCGTTCTCTATGTAAGAATTGTAAAATAATTCCTACAGAAGTACGAGCCACCCAACATAGGTTAGTGATCTTAGATGTGAGCATTAAGCTTTGCTATAAAAGGATTAAGATAAACCACCTCCCACGAACTCGTTGGTGGCATTTGAAGGGAATAAAGTAATTGGCCTTTAAAGAGAAGTTGTTAGATGATGTAAATACTACGTGGAATGCCATAGCCAGCTTTATTAGAAAAGTGGCAAAGGAGGTACTAGGGGAATCTAGAGGTAAAGGCCCCCCGGGAAAGAAACCTGGTGGTGGAGTGGGGAAGTTAAAAAGGCTATTAGGACCAACAGGGATTTATATAGAGATTTACCAAAGCGTAAGAATGTTGAAACTTTTAATAAGTACAAAGAAGCGAAGAAAGAAGCTAAGCGGGCAGTTGGTAAGACTCATTCTACTTACTTAGATGATGTATATTGGAAACTTGGGACTAGAGAAAGAGAGAATGATATATATAAACTAGCTAAGATGTGAGCATTAAGCTTTGCTATAAAAAGATTAAGATAAACCACCCCCCACGAACTCGTTGGTGGCATTTGAAGGGAATAAAGTAATTGGCCTTTAAAGAGAAGTTGTTAGATGAGACTACTTAGTCATATGTAGGTGATGTAAATACTACGTGGAATGTCATAGCCAGCTTCATTAGAAAAGTGGCAAAGGAGGTACTAGGGGAATCTAGAGGTAAAGGCCCCCCGGGAAAGAAACCTGGTGGTGGAGTGGGGAAGTTAAAAAGGTTATTAGAACCAACAGGGATTTATATAGAGATTTACCAAAGCGTAAGAATGTTGAAACTTTTAATAAGTACAAAGAAGCGAAGAAAGAAGCTAAGCGGGCAGTTGGTAAGACTCGTTCTACTTAGATGATGTATATAGGAAACTTGGGACTAGAGAAAGAGAGAAGGATATATATAAACTAGCTAAGATAAGAGAAAAGAAGTGTCAGAATCTAAATCAAGTGAGGTGTGTTAAGGATGATACGGATCAAGTTCTGACAAGAGATAAAGACATTAGTAAAAGGTGGAGGAGTTACTTTGAGAAGTTTTATAATGATGATCATGCGATAGAGTGATAATCTTAGGTCACAAGGCGAACCTAATGTGATGTATACAAGAGAAATCAGAGTCTCAGAAGTTAAAACTGCACTACGGAAGATGAAAAAGGGGAAGGCATGTGGGCCAGATAATATTCCAATAGAGGTTTGGATGGCGTTAAGAGATATTGGAATTGTGTGGCTCACTAAGCTTTTTAATGAGATACTAAAGAAGAAGCATATGCCTGATACATGGAGGAAAAGTATTCTCGTCTCCATCTTCAAGAATAAAGGAGATGTGATGAATTGTAACAATTATAGGGGCATAAAGTTAATAAGCCACACTATGAAACTTTGGGAGAAGGTTATCGAAAGGAGATTAAGGGCCACAACTACCATCTCGCGTAACCAATTTGGCTTCATGCCAGGCAGATCAACCACGGAAGCCATTTTTCTTTTTAGGATGCTAATGGAAAGGTTCAGAGAAGCCAAGACAGACCTACATATGGTCTTTATAGATTTAGAAAAGGCATATGATAGGGTGCCGAGAGAAGTTTTATGGTGGGTGCTAAAAAAGAGAGGAGTGCATGTGAAGTATATTAAGGTAATTAAGGACATGTACGATGGGGTGGTCACGAGTGTGAGAATTGCTGGAGGCTACACGACAGAGTTCCCCATTCGGATCGGCCTTCATCAAGGATCTGCTCTTAGTCCTTATCTTTTCACAATCGTGATGGATGAGCTGACAAGAGAAATCCAAGATAGAGTTTCTTGGTGTATGCTTTTTGCGGATGATATAATTTTAGTTAATAAACATAGAGAAAGAGTTAACCGTAAGTTAGAACTGTAGAGACAGACTCTCAAAATGAAGGGATTTAAGTTAAGTATGACGAAAACTGAATACATGCATTGTAGGTTTAGTAACTCAAGTAATCAGAATAATAGAATTTCTTTAGATGGTGTGGAGATTGGGGGCTTCTAGGAACTTTAGGTACCTTGGGTCTATAGTGCAGCACGAAGGAAATATAGAAGAGGATATTCAACATAGGATTAGGGCAGGGTGGGTTAAGTGGAAGAATGCTATGGGAGTTTTATATGACGGCAAAATGCCTATTAAGTTGAAAGGAAAGTTAAAAGTAAATTTTGAGGAAGAATCACTTTTTCTTCTATATCATTTAGAGAGTAATACAACACATATATATACAAAGGCCTCCTCAACAGAAAAAGGGAAACTAGTCTACGGAAGAAAAAGAAACTAGAAACTAACATCCCTAAAAATCTGCTATACACCATGATCCCGTTTAACTTCCCAAAGTAACCGGGAAATACAATAAGTCAATCATTCCAAATATGGAATGATTGATATTAGTTTTATGAAAATTTAAAAGTTTTATGAAAATTTTTATGTAAATTAACATATTCTATAGAGTATTTAAAAGTTTTATGAAAATTTTTATGTTCCTTGGTTGGGATGTATGTCATGCAGAAGCTCCCATTGTCAATTTTCTCTCTGATGAAATGACGGTCCACCTCTACGTGTTTCGTTCGATCGTGATGAACTGGATTGTGGGCAATGCTGACAGCTGCCTTATTGTCACAATAGAGCTTTATGGGAGAATTAATGGAGATCTTTAGTTCTTCCAATAGTCTTCCAAGCCAAATTCCCTCACATACAACATGTGCTAATGACCGAAACTCTGCCTCGGCACTGCTCTTGGCTACCACGGGTTGCTTTTTGCTTCTCCATGTCACTAAGTTGCCCCAAACATAAGTACAATACCCTGATGTCGATCTTCTATCCACTGAAGAACCTGCCCAGACAGCATCAGTATAGACTTCCACAGCCTTGTGATCTCCCTTTCTGAAGAACAATCCCCTTCCAGGAGTATTTTTCAAATATCTCAAGATCCTAAAGACTGCCTCGAGATGTCTTTCTTTGGGTGAGTGCATAAATTGACTAACAACACTCACCGCAAAGGCTATATCAGGACGGGTATGTGACAGGTAGATAAGCTTGCCTACTAGTCGCTGATACTGCTCTTGATCAATTTCCTTCCCGCCTTCAAGTCCAAGCTTGGCATTAGGCTCCATAGGTGTCTCGGCTGGCTTGCAACCCAACATGCATGTATCTTGAAGAAGGTCAAGAACATACTTCCTCTAAGAAACAACAATTCCAGAACTGCTCCTGGCAACTTCCATGCCCAAGAAATACTTGAGAGCACTTAGATCCTTTAACTCAAATTTGCTAGCGAGATACCTTTGTAATGATTCCAACTCGGGTTGGTCATCTCCACTAACAATTATATCATCTACATATACAATAAGGATTGCTCTTTTACCATCCTTAGAGTGTTTGTAGAAGATAGTGCGGTCGGATTGTGCTTGTGTAAAACCACGTTCCTTCACAGCTTGAGTGAACTTCTCGAGCCATTCCCTCGGAGACTGCTTCAAGCCATACAGTGATTTTTTCAGCTTACACACTAGTTTTCCTTTCTTCTCAAACCTTCGAGGCAGATCCATATACACTTCTTCATGCAAATCTCCATTTAGAAAAGCATTTTTTACATCCAGCTGCTGAAGTGGCCAATCAAGATTTGCAGCCAGAGATAAGAGTACCCTTACGGAGTTGAGTTTGGCTACGGGGGCAAACATTTCC